CGGCGGCGCTGCGGGGCTCCCGCCCGGCGGACGCGAGGAGGCGCGGGAGGAGGCGCAGGCGGCAGCAGCCCCAGCTCTGACCCCCGCGCCAGGTGAGGAGCCACCGGCCCCCCCCCCTTGCACGCGCACGCATGCTTGTGCATGCACACTTGCACACACGCGGGCTCCTGTGTGAAGGCGGAAGGGAGCTCCGCCGCTGCCCTTAAAAACAGATGCTCTAAAAGAAAAAAAAAAGGGGTGGGGGAAGGATTCATTATTTTATTCATTCTTCAATCTTTGTGCGAGTGGGTGGCTTTTAATCTGTGGGGCAGATGTGATTTACCAACATCATCCGAAAATGCTTTCATAGGATCCGTGCGCAGCTGTTGGACGTCCTCGGAAAAAACGGCATAACGAAGCTGTCGCATCCTATCCGTCCATGGGTATTAACGCTGGTATTAACCATGTGTCTTCAGGATGTGCGAGGCGATCGTAATGTCGCTGTCTTGGGTGTATTACACGTGTGCCTTTGCCATTATCCGACATGGATCGTGAAGTGATTTCCTGCTGTCGGGGTGGCTCGGTTACATTCCCCGTGTTCATGGTACAAGTGCTTTTAAATAAGGGTGTTACGTAGGTAGGGTGCGGATTTACTTCTTCCAGGGAGCAGAGCTGCCTAATGCACCTTAAAGTGTGGACGACTTCATTAGAAATAGCGACGAATCTAGGCGGTATGTAACAGATGGCAGCTGAGCGGTTGTGGACAGCCATCGTTTCAGGTTCATCACTGGAACAAATGTAACTGAGAGGGAGAATAATAGAGACAAGTGCGTGTATCGTGCAAAAAGCCTTGAAATCCTACGTGTGTTGTTTTTTCAGCTGGCAAGGGGCCAGCGCCGTATATACTTAATGATGTGATTTATATGCAGCTGTCTTGCTATCTGATAACCTTAATGACATACAAGTGTAAACCGCATGCACCAAAGCAGATCTGGGAATTTCTGATGAAGGTGTCAGATATTATAAATGTGACTTGTATGTGTAGTTATAATAGTCATGTAGTGTATACTTCATGCTGAAGCAGAATTTACATTTATAAATCAGATGACAGTTTATTGATTTCAGACTGATTTCAGACTGTTTATCTCTGCACATGAGAACGGCAAAATAATTCGAATCGGTAGGGTTAAGTTTGTAGCCTGGTATTTTGAATGGAAAAATTGTGAGGGGTTAGTTTTTTTTACTCTAGTTTAGAAAGGTTGCCAGTGTTAGTTGATACTGTGTACACTGATGAATCCCCTTTTTAAGGGTTACTGTAGAGGTTTATGAAGAGGGATTTCTGGTTGTAAACTGGTGAAGGAGGGAAGTGGCTCACTTTGGCTCTTATCTCTCCATACCCCATATTGATTCATCTTCACAGGTCCTGCACTAACTACAGTATTAGTGCTTAACTTGCTTCCCAAGTGAGGGCTGGGTTTCATTTTATATAATGGCATCCACAATAGGGAAACCTCAAAGTAACTAATATGTAAATTGGCAGAGAGCCTCAGCATAGGTTTTCCTAGTTCTGGTTTGTTGTTGCAACTTATGAGAAACTTCATGGAGATGTCAGTCTCGCATCTTTCATTGTGAAAGGTTGGGGTCTGTTATTTGGTATAAGAAGGAAAGATCAGACCAGGTTTCCCCCCAGGAAACTGTACCAAAGACTTCCCTGGAAACTGCTAACGATTAAGATGTTTGCCATTTACTGTATTTCTATGCAAGGAAAAACACCAGGATCATGTAACCAGGGAGAGAAAAAATGAGAAAAGGGGAAACAAAGAGCTTGGAGAGGCTCTGCAACATAGAAAACTGGACATGGATTTGGGAGTTGGGACTTCCTGACTTCTAATCCCGATTTGGTTCTTTATTTGACAAGGGGCAAGTCACTAAAATCACCTCTCTGCTATAGCTACATAAATTGGTTATACTGGGGTGCTCAACCCCAGGCCTGCAGGCCAGATACAGCTCCTGGAGCCAAGCCATATGATCTACTGGGTTCCCTGTGTATCACCAAAAAATTGGTGGCAGGGGAATGGTGACAGTGTTAATTGCCATTTCCCTGCTGCTAATTTTTTAGACCTGCAGGGAGCCCCGCTGGCTGCACAGGGTGGCACGTGGGGACTGTGCAGGGACCCAAAACTCGGTCCCACCATGATAGGATGGGGTCTGATCCTAGCATGTGGGATTGGGCAGGGGCAGCACAGGGCCTGATCCTGGTGCATGGGACCCAGTCTGACCTACAGAGTGCCCCCTTGCTACTCATCTGGCTCATGGGGCCAAAAGGTTGAGCACCACTGGGCTATACAAATGGTGTTAATGCATGCTTCCTTGCATACAGGGATGCCATGAGTATCACTCTGCATAATGCTTAGAATTTATAAACTCTCCTCCTCCCACTTTGAGTGAATGGGAAGGAATGGCAGATAATCCTCCTTGCTGAATTGGTTGTTTCAATGAGCTTTTCTCAAAAGGAGCAGTTTGGACAGCTGTCCTAAGTGGTATGCAGTAAATACTTCAGTTATGTTTCTTTGCACAATGCTATAGCATTACCTTGTGGCTGTCAGCTTGCCTATACAATCTTCTTTGTGGTAAACATACATGAATAACCAAAGGCCGGCCATCTGGTTGAACTAGAGGTTTTACGGAATTCGCTGTCTACCTCTGGGTTCTTAGAAAAGCGCTTGGAAATTCATCCTTGTTTGTGATGGCTCTTTGTTTTTCATTACTGTTTTGAACAGGGTTAATGTAGGTCACTTCAAGTGATAAGTACATGTTTATCTTCAAGGAAACAGTGCTTTCTAAAGTGTCGATTTTTGATTGAAAGGGGTTTCCTGGGGATCTTCGTTGTCCATTGCAGTCCTGCTTTTATTGACAAGAGTGGTGCACTCCTGCTGTCCACATCATTCCTACTAACTCATTTTAAGGTATGTGAGTTACTGCTAATAGAATTTTCTGAAGTGGACCATGGTGAAAAATAAAAAGCTGTCTGCTTGAAGGAACAGAAATAAAGAGCCAGATGGCAGAAGTGAAATGGCACAGTTTTAGATCAATTTGTTTCTCCTTGTGTGTGGATTTGAGTCCTATGGAAGGATGATAACAATTTGCCCAATATGAGTGTTTTGCTTGGCTGTTAAAATGGTTGTGATTTTGGCTCTCTGAAGTTATTCCGCATCAATGCAAGTGATGTATCAGTATTGGTAATATGTTTATAATCTTGGAGAGTACAATACCAGTATTTTGCCTAGTTATTAGTTAAGTGTTCCTGTAGTCTGCTGTTTCTTGCTCTTTGCATCAGAGGAAAAAAATCTTTCTTATGCATAAGAGGGGCTAAGAGCTTCTTACAGTGAGTCTTTCTTACAGCTTATGGGAAAAATTGGCTGTCATGGAGGAGTGGGATTAATCAGTAGCTGCAGAGCTTGCCAGTGCTGTGTTGCCTCTATTGAGCAACAGAGACTTGGGCTACTTTAAGCAAAATAAGCAGGGGCGTCTTCAGAGACCTTAGTAGCCAAGAGTAGTGAAGATTTTCCTCTGCAAAGAAAATGACCAGGTTAATCCAAACAGCTGTATGGCAGCAAAGCGGAGCCTACTAGAGGTCTCTCTCTTTCACTTCTCCCTATCGCCACCTCCCAGGAGGTCTGGCAACATCACGATCCAGTTGAGTGGAGAGAATGCATCACTGCCTGGACTTAGCATCATGAGCCCCAATTACCTAGAGTTTCATTGCCCAACACTAGGCCATGTAATAATGGAAGTTAGGACCTGAAAGACTGGTTAATTAGGACATTCGGCTCACCTCCTCCTTTTCTCCACCCCTTCTAACTATGTTTGTGCTAGTAGTCTAACCAGTCTCAAGTGGACTTCCTTGACAACTGACAGGGTTGTAACCTTGGATGTTGGGGCATCACCCACTGACTTCTAACAGCGTGAGGTCAGGGGAGATCTAGTAGCTGGATTTTGCAGTGCTGAGGTGCTTGCCCTGTTCTAACCCACTTCTTGCAATCCTCTGGCTCAGACCCTTACTGCAGAGATACAGGCCCAGAAACAAGGGGACCGGGGCGATCTTCCTCTCAAAGCAGGGGTGAGCAAAATGCAGCCCAACAGGCCAGTCTACCCAGCCTGCGAAGCCCCTAAAAAAATTTAGAAAATTAAGATTAATCTGCCCGGGGCTGCCTGTCATGTGGCCCTCGATGGCTTGCCGAAACTCAGTAAGCAGCCCTCTGCCCAAAATAATTGCCCGCCCCTGTCTCAAAAGGAAAGCGGGACATATTATTCCAAGAGAGGCAGAATTTGTTGGGGGGAGGGGGTTGCCTTTAACCATTCTTCAGCATTTGTTGCTTCTCTCTGCTGCCCCTGACACTCTTTTTTTTTTTTTTCCCATTACATCAGCAGGCCCCAGGGGAAAAGACCACAAGGCTTTGGGTTCGAGTAAACAAAGCTGGATGCTGTAGGGGCGCACCTTTGTTCCAGAAAACAGCCTCTACGGAACCAGTGATCCTGGACAAAAACTGAGGCATACAGGCTTGGAAAGGAGGGGGCCAGGAGCAGGATAAATCCAGTCTGTTGGGGCTGTTGTGAATTGTACACTATCTTTCTGGGAAGAGGTCCAGTTACCAGATTGAGCCACAGACTGCTAAGGAGGAAGTGGAGGACAAGGCTAATTGCCCTAGAATCCTTCATTCTTTTTCAGAGGGGCAGAAGCAGTGCTGCCACACTGCTAACTCACCCTTGTGCAAAAAAAAGCTGTCTGATCAAACAGCAGCTCCAGAAGATGGATGAATTTGACCATCACTTGCTCCCTTCCCTTAAGTATGAGTCTATTGAGTTTTTTAAATACTGTTAGTAAGCACCTGCAGCTTAACTTTTTTTCCTAACCAAAGAGAATTTTTTTTTTCCCTAATCCAGCCAAATGGGAACTGAAGGAGCAAAATGCGTAAAATAGTAGTGTGAACTTGCAGTGCGCTGTGGGCTACATCCTTTGCAGGTGTAAGTTCACGACTATGGACAATTTGACCTATTGCATGTTTTTAAGTATATTCACTAGGTGGAGAGTGGGAGTTAATCAGTCCTTTGACTTTGTTAGCACCCCTTCGTGGCCAGCTCTTGACACTGATGCTCTTTGAATTAATTCAGTTTTATGTCTGGCTAGAACCGCTGTGCAGATATGATTACAGAGCAGAGAGGTAAGGTTGGCTTCCAAAGCTTTCTAGAAAAATGGCACCTGGGAACGTCTGTAATAAACCAGTGATAAAAAATGTAAAGTGTATGTATTACGCTTACAGCTGAATAAGTAAATAGTTTACTCTTTTTTTTTTTTCATCTTGTCATTTTTGGTGTGTTGCCACTTTTGGACCAGGCAGCCATTAACAAATTGTTTCCAGTTTCAGGGCGTGGATATCTCTTATTCTGAGTTGTCAACCTTTTGCCTGAAGTAGGCAAGGCCTTATGTTGGAAGTAAAGGTTGCACTATCAAGTTAAACTAAGTAATCCTAGCAGTACTTTAGAACTAACTATATCTTCTCATCATTGAATAATCCATATGCAAAAACTTTAAGTTGCAACAAAACGAACAATACCACAATGTTAACAGTAGAGTATTAATAAGTCAGTGGTGCTCTTCAGGGTAATTCAGAACACTTGTCCCTTCATCTAGATGGGAATTTCTAGCTACATTAATATTTTGAAATGTGTAGATTGCAGTATGCTATACTCAAATGTAAGCTTTAAAAGAAGCCAGTAAATTAACATGACTTTTCTTTTTGAAAATACAGACCTGTTTCAGGATTTCATATCTCTAGGAAAGAGGAGTTAAATTTGGGTCATCTTCCTTCTGTATTTGAAAAAATGCTTAAAAGAAGAGCTACCAGAATGCTTTCTCTTGCTCATCATCAAGAAGCCAGTTTTTCTGTGTAAGGTGGTTCTGAATTCCAAGCTGAATGGTCTTTTGGTTGCTAACTCTTTCTTTTACTTCCATAAGCTCTAATTCTCTAAGAGAGGAATCTGTAAAATGACAGGAAATGTGTAGTCAACAAGCTAATCAACCCCCCAAGCATGCTAGACCATTAACCCAGGATCCATAATTGGACTTATTATTTCATTTACCACACGTGAACCTTTCATGCGTGGCTTAATGATGCTGGTCTTTAAATTTATGTTGCCACAAGAATTTTGCTGAGGTTCCTCAATTTCTGTCAGTTCTTTTCCACTAATTGTTGACAATCTCGCCAAGGGTTTTGTCAGTTTGTGTGGGATGCTGATCTGTTTGGAATAAAAGCTGTGCAGGAAATTCAGTGTTTCAAGGTTTGGTTTTGGTTTGGTTTTTCTTCGGGCTGTCCCTGTCTTGAGGTCAGTCCTCTGAAACTTGGAATTCTGGAATGTCAGGAACAAAAATGAAAAATATTACCAGAATCATCATCATTATCCAGATCTCCATACTGAGGTCAAGGAACTTGTAAGTGTGGGGGTGGTTTCCAGTTCTCCACATAAATTACCCTTGCCGTTATCAGTTAGCAAGAGCTTTTTTTAACTTTTAAGATATCTTCTCTAAACTATGGGGCATAAAGACGGAGTCCATTGGCCACACAACGTCTGGCTCCAATTCTGTTTTTCCATATGTATGATGATTTGCTGACTTTCTGAAAGGCTGAAGTCCTGCATGTGTCTACATCAGTGATGGCATCCTGGAGTGTCATGAGATCCTTTTAAGGTTGATGCAGGAAATGTGAGGAGATAAGCAGAGAAGGGCAGACTCAGGCTTCAAGGGTGGGGAGATGAGCAGATAGGCTGCTTACAGACGTTTAAAAAAAACCCCAAACCAACACACACACACAAACAAACAAAAAAAACACACTGCCAGTTTGACCCGGCTCCACAGCACGTGTATAGATGAGGCTCTTCAGTGGAGCTTTTTGGGTGCTTATATCTAAAAGCTGATTCAGTCAGCTATTAGATAAAAACACCGGAGAAGCCCCATTAAAGCACTTCATCTGTGCGGAGTTTAAAGTACACCATTTTGGGGTTGGCTTTTTTTTGTTTTTTGTTTTTTAACATCTGTAAGCAGCCCTTAGGGCAGACTTGGGCTCTTCCCAGCTAGTGCCCTCACCCCCACTGCAAGGCAGTAAGTACTGCAATAAATAAGTAAATTTTTTAAATGAGGTACTACTCAATTTGCAGAAGTTAGAGGTACCTTGAGTCTAAAAATGTTGAGAGCCGTTGCTCTACATCAGTTGCAACAACAGTATAAGTTGGCTGCTAGCATAACTCTCCTGAAAAGAACGCCAGCAAGTCTAAAGAAGGTAGTTAATAACTATTGCATAAGATTTTCAGTCCTTGATCTCTCAGCTTCATATCCCAGTGAGGGTCCTGGTTACTACCAGATTATGGCTGTTGTGAGTGTTTGAAACTACCCGGTCATCTCACAAGCAAATTCTGAACCAGCAAGAGTTGGCAGATCCTTTCCTGCCATACTATTGGATTTGTGACGTAGAGAGAAGTCCTCATGTTCACTAACAAACCGTTCAGCTCTTTGAGTTTGCTTTTCAGCCAGAATGCTTTCCTATGATGCCCTTACTTGGGTATTTTTGGTAGGCAACTGTTTCATGGGTTACTCCTGTTATAAGAACCTATAATAAAACAATAGATGGGCAAGATTGTTCTCACCAAAAAAAAAAAAAAAAAGGGA